ACGATGAGACCCATTCTTTTTGTAAAGGGTTCTAACCATTGAATAACTTGTAATTCGTTATGGCTTTTAAATTTTGAATATTTATGGTATTGTATTCACATGTTATAAGAATCCATGCTTTGGAAATTGTGTATGTTTGTAATCGTTACGTAATACTCTTTTGTAAATCTCAACTACAATGAAATTAAGTACTAACAAGAAAAGAGAATTAAGTTTGTTGTAAGATTATTGTTTGAATCTTGATAAGATATTGACTTCTGCATAACTTAATTTAATTGCTTTGAAAATAGATAACGATCGAGTTTGATTGTTTCAATCAAATTCTATGAAAATTGGGCGTTATAGGGGCCATTTAGTGCATTGGAAAGGCCTAGAACTACGGGGAACTTGCCTGCAGTGACACAATTTGTGGAAGGTCCTACTCAACTTTGTACAGCTCCGCAACCTCACTTCTCTAGAACTGAAGAGATTGTGATAAACAAGAAAGCATGTTCTCATTATCCATAGCCAGTAGATCTGATTCAACTACAAACATTAATGTATCTGATTGTCTAAGATGGAAAGTACTATTTTGAGTGACGAAGAAGGAGATCAAATGAGATAGCATCAACACAATAGAAAACAATAGATAAAATTGTGTTTCCTAAACTAAAGGAATTGTATCTTGGGAGGCCTGCCAAGTTTTATGCTATCTTGCAAGGCTATGAATGGAATTTGAGCTGCTGCAATTGACTGCTGACACTAGGTTGATGCCAAAGCTCAATAGTTTTTGCAATACTTCGGATAGCAAATTACCAACTATTCAACCTCTCTTTCAATAAGGTATGCTTCTTTGACTTAAGCTTATTTATTTATTTATTTAAGCTTCATTGCTGCGTCTATAAAATTTTATTTAATATTTTGCTATTTTCATTTGACCTTTTTGGGCAATAATTGAGAACACAACATATTTGATTGAATATGTTTGTTGGATGCAAAAATAAGAACATAAAACGCACTTTGAAATTAATTAGTATTAGGAACAAATTTCCGTTTTTATGTGTTTTATTTCTTTAGACAAATTATGTAGCGCCCTCAAAATAATAACATTAAACCCCTCAATAAAGACATGCATAGATACATAAAGATCCACATTCATCTATCCATCAGAGTACTTTATTAAAAGTATTACATGTTTACAACAAAACAAATTGCTCTACGGGCTTACAGCTTTCCAAGTTAACAACTTGGTTACAAAAGAGAATGCTAACTCAATTACACCTTTACGCCCTTGGCTTGAAACTATATATAATACAAAAAAATAAGACAACCAAAGTATGTCCGCCTCTAGCCTCCCAAGCTATGTCCTTAGAGGTGGCAAGCTACCTGTACCTAAAAATGATGTCCCCATATAGGGTGAGCCACAGCCAGTAAAAAAACTAAACCAACTATGAACAATGACTAAGAGATTAGCAACTGGTAGATGGTTAACACTTACACTTCCATTTACATCTTATAAAAATTCCAGGATAGTCAAGTTGATGTTACAATTCACTTTCCAGTTCTTATTCAACCTTTGAATTAAGAAAACAAGGTTCAGTATTCTGGCCAAAACATTTTGATGAGATTAATAGTTCATCACTAGAACATTTTTTGAAATTCAAGGTGAATACACATTTGGTGTTGTATCAATAAAACCGTAAACTACCTTCCATATTTCACAAACGATGGATGACATACATTTTAGTGTTATATCAAATCAAACACAATCTTTTCAATAGATAAGCATTATGAGCTATATCACCACTACAACAGATAAGCATATTGAGCTATATCAATACTTCAACAGACAGGCATGTGAGCTATATCACTACCCAACAGATAACGCGTATTTGAGCTATATCAACCATTCCAATAGATAAGCATATAGAGCTATATCTACTACAACAGATAAGCATATGAGCTATATCAACACTTCAATGGGTGAGCATATGAGCTGCATCCCAGGGTCCATCCCCCATCTTCCCTTAACCATTGACCGGTTTGAGGTACATCCCCTACTCTCCCTAAACCATTAACCAGCTTAGAGGACATCCCCCATTTCCTCTAAACCATGGAGTACATCCCTATCTCCTCCCATACACAAGTAATGCATATAAACACAGAATCACATACGCAATCAATCAAACATGAAGTTAATGTATTCTATCAACTGTCTACACATAATGCATATAACACCCATTGGCCATATGCAACAATCAACCAACACATAAAGGTTAGTGTATTCTATCAAACCGTCATACCTCTATGACACATCCAATTGATTAGTTTTAGTTTACCTAATCATCATGCATTGTCTACAACAATCAACACTACCCTCCACGGTAGCCCAAAGCAATTATTTCTAAGCAGAAAATAAATGCACAAATGGATTAATATTCAACATTCAAATTAGATGAGCAATAAAAGATTTAACTACACTCTTTAGTCCCATTACATTCCCAATTTCAACATTTTCAATTCAATTCCTCGTTTTCTTCAATTAAATTATATGCATTAATTAATTAAACCAATTAAGGCCAAATTACCATAATTCAACAAACAACCCTAAGGTTCCATTTCCACCAATGTCCAACATTAATCTCATTTCTCTATGCCCAACATGCATATAGGTTTATATATTTAAAACCCCACAACTTTGGTAAAATTACACAAAGGCCCAAACTTCTCAAAAACTAACCAAAACTCCCAACCTATCAAATGCTAAAATTCAAAGACAAAGCTCATAGATGGAGTAGGTTATCCTACCTCAAATGATGGGGCTCAACGAAGGAGATGAAGAAACGAAATGCTCCAAATCTCGAAATTTTTCACATAAAAGATAGCCCTCGACGATCAACACAACTTTTGTAAAGGCCCAAGGTGAGAAAAACAACTCCTACTAGATCAATCCTAAGAGAAAAGTAGGGTTTTAGTGAGAGGAGCTGTCAAAAATAGCTTTTGGAAAAGTAAGAGAGAGAAAGTGTAAAGCTCAAAAAATAAACCCATTATACGTATATCATCAACATGCATTATTTAAAGAAAACAATTTATTAATTCATTCATCAGAGTATTACTAAATAAAAACATTACATGTAACA